TATATATATATATATGCAGTTTTAGAACACTATCCACTTAACAAGTAAAAATACATGCAATATCAGGGCTAACAATAATTTACACTGCTACTACATTATTATTAAATTGATCTTTCAACAAAATATTTAACAGTTTTTAAATCAGGACGAAAATTGGAAAATTTCAATTTTCATATTGTAAGTCAAGAAAAATCATAAAATTTTGTCTGAAATCAGAGACAAGTTATGAGGGGAATTTTAGAATAAGAAATTTGTGACAACTCTGAAAACCCTTCATCTTTGCTTCATGCCTCTCGATCACATCTCCATAATTAGACTTGAAATGATGAACATGTAATATATTTAACGGTTATACGACAAGAGAGGGGATTTGATCGCCTTATTACATTTCATCTCGCGTAATTGAAATTAAGACGCCGCTGCACTTAAGGCGTCGCGACGCATCAGAAGGTACATTGCTTTTAATGGCTGCAGAAAAGCTGCAGCTTTGCATAACTGTTGTAAGATTTTTAATATGATTGATTTTTACCTTTAGAGTCTCATTAAATCTAAATGTAATAAACCGATGGTATTAGAGAATCTGACGATAGTTGCAAACTTTTTTTCTTGCACTGTTAGATATTAAAGGAACAGTGGTAACTCAGTGAGTTAAATGTAACATCTTATTATTTTAAATTTCCATATATGCCAAAATGTAAATCTTAAGCTATTTGTTTCAAAACAAACAATATTCATAATAACACTTAGTGAATAATAAATTAATGTATTTTCTTGAGTTAAATTGTTTAACTTCATTATTTCAGTTAAGTACATGACATATTAAATACGAGCAATGCCAGATCTATAGAAATGATTAAAAATAACTCAAATTGGATATAATTTGACATTATGAATTTAACAGTGCACTGAAGCAGAGAATTTTACAATGGTTGCAAAGCTTTTATCTGCTATAATCCTATAAATCCCGGAGATCCCAGAGGAATCAAAATTCGATCGATGTTCTAGATTTATATCTTGGTGCAGAAGTCTCCGCAGAAAATAAATTTTTGCCGCTGGAAAAACGGAAGCGAGATAGTAAACATCTCGACGGAGACACAACATGAGGGAATTCGAGCGGACGGGACGATAGTCTGAAGTGCAGAAGAAGAACGGTACTCGCAAGAGGGGCCGGAAGGCGAGACGTGATGACGGGAGGATGGAGATTCAAAAGAGAAGAAGAAAGGAAGAAACGGAGAAAAGAAGATCACTCGCTCGGGAGAGTCGGGAGTCGTTTTCTCAGATCTTGCTCCGCCGACTTCACGTTCGAGCGGTTGCAGTCGGTGCACAAAATTCCGAGAAGCGACGGCCCTTTACCTGGCCCGCCGCGAGGAGACGAGTTCTGCGATCGCGAGGAAACGAAAAAACAGGAGGGACACTCGAGACACAGACGGAGACGGACTTGCCACCAGATATCTCGGAATGGAATTCAATGACTGGAATCGAATCGTTCAAATGTTACGTATTCTTAACAATCCTTCGCATTCGTTTTATATGAGATATAATTAATTACAGTATCTCTCAGCTTAGAGTCGACTTGAGAAACATTTTTACCTTTGACAAATTCCAATTTTACGCGCTGCCTAAAATTTTCATAGGAAAAAGATAATATTTTTGCTTTACTTTTAGAAAAAAAAAACTGTACATACATAGATTTATAAATTTAACAAAGAAATATCACATTTTTTAATTTAAAAATTCATATATAAATTATTAACTAAAATTAATAATTAATAATCGATGTATGTATAATCTTCACTGATTCTCATTTAAGTAATGAAAACTTCTATTTTTACAATCACAATTGCTTATTTTTAACAATTAATACTTGATCTCTAGTACACGATTGGGTTATTCATGTCTTACATATTTCTTTTTTTTTTTTTAAACACTATATGCAAGAAATTAATTATAACGCTTACATACAATTTTTTTAATACACAACTTCACGAGCACTATCTAAAGATGACAAAGTGTATGTATATAAAAATGACTTAATAATTTTTTTTTTAATCTTGTAAAAGTGATAAAAATTAATCCGGGATCCATCGCACATGCTAACGACAAAACTTAGTATCAATAATATACGTAAACATATATAAAATTATATAAATCTATTCATGTATTCTACTGTTGTTTTCTCTTGTCCTGCATACTATTTATAAATAGAATGTCTTTTGACATTTTTCAAGCAAATCAGCAAAATTAACGATAAGGTAATCGTTATCTCTTGCCTTAAGTAAGAATAATGTGAATTTATACGTATTAGAATTGAAATACGTACGGAGATTCATTTTGTCGAATGCATTTATCTCTTTACAGCCTTCATGAACGTGAAATCCGGACGTCCTTTAAATGTCTCCTAGAAGTCGGAATTACGGAAGATCAGGATGTCCTACGCGTGTTACTCTTACGTGGAAAATTCACCCCCCATTCAACGAGACACCTTCAACGCTCGGCTCGGCTCTGCTCGGCAATCTCACAATCAGTTCAACTCGCTCGCTCCTTGTCGCTCTCGCTCGCTCTCCTCGGACTTCTCGCGCGCGCATTGCGCGACGCGCGACGCGCCACGCCGCGGAGGGAGCGAACTCGTTGGATATATACATGCACACGCGATATCATAGCGGCGAGCAGTCGACACGCGGCACTCGTACGAAACGGGTCTCCTCGTGCTCTCCTTCCCTCCTCCTGCAGCCGAAGGAGAGAAAGGAAGAAGAGAGACGGCAGTTAGCCAGGAAGAAAGACACAAGTATTTTAAGCTCGTCTCCTAAGCGAAATCTTCGAAACGGCAAAAATCGTCGAAAGGATCCGCTCTA